CAAGCAAGTCTTCAACTGAATTTTATTTAGACTGTTTGAGATAGAAGGAATAACCCTGAATATTTTACATGATGCCCTTAAAAGGGCATCAGAAATGGTTGATAAAGCATAGGATTCTGCTTGTCAAACATGCTGTCACCTGTGTTTTTGGAGAACTAAGAGAGTAAACTTAAGTAATTAAGTCCTCATGCCCAGGATTGAGAGAGGAATGAATTTGATAAAGAATATACTCTGAACATTATGTATAAATCTACAAACATGCTGCAGTAACACCCAATCTATTGTTTATAATATTTTATTTCTTCAATAGACAGGTGTGTCTATGATGGATCCAAATCACTTCTTGATGATAATGTTGAGTCGCTTTGAACTTTATCAGATATTTAGTACTCCAGACTATGGCAAAAGATTCAGCACAGAAAATACTAACAAGGTATTTCTTGTACTACTGCAATAGAAAATCTACAATTTTTTTTCTTAAAGTGTGTAAGATGCTGTAAGCCTGTCCTATCTTAAAACCAATTTTAATTTATTTTGTCCAGTTTGAAATATGCATAAATATTTTTACATGTCAAATGTAAAGGTCAGACAGTGCTGCATAATTTTTGCATTGTTTTAAATGAAGTTTTAAAGCACTTGCGTTTCAGCATACCTCACTTTGGGAATGCTGAGGGTGAAAACAAGCAGTGTTTTGAGTCACTGAAAAATTATTTTCACTATATGGAATAATTCTTTTCTTTCTTTTAGTGAAAAAATGTAAATTCCTTTTTTTTGTTTGTTTTACTTCAGGATGTTGTTCAACAAAATAACACTCTTATAGAAGAGATGCTATACCTCATTATAATGATTGTTGGTAAGTTCAGAATGTATTGAATTAATTTTTAAGTCTCTTTAATGAGCATTTTTCATTGTCATCTCTGGTTCAGTTCTATTGTGAACTTCCAGTAGTTCTGACTTCTTTGTGAAGAGTAAAGCCTTGAAACTAGCTTAGATCAGCATAATGAATTTTTGAAAACAGATAGGTGAACACAAGATTTCACAGAAGGCTTAGTTTCTGGTCTTTAACTTGCAGAAGAAGGGAAATAAATGTTTAAAAATTTTTTTTAAAATCTATTTTATTTTTACAGGTGAAAGATTCAGTCCTGGAATAGGACAGGTAAATGCAACAGATGAAATCAAACGAGAGATCATCCATCAGCTGAGCATCAGGCCAATGGCTCACAGCGAACTGGTAAAGGCATTACCTGAAGATGTAAGTGACTTGGTGTGGGGACAAACAGCTTCAATTCTATAAGGCTGATTGCTGGAAATGTTTCTTTTGCAAGTTTATGACACTTAATGTAGAATGAGAGCAGCATGGTTATGCTAAGAGCAAGGTTAGCATGAGTACAGATTAATAGTTGTCGCAGAGAGGGTAGAAAAAAGATAAAAGAAGGAACAACATATGAAAGAGGCAGGAACCTGAGAGCTTCTTCAGTTCTTTTCTCTTTTTAATACTGTTTCTTATCAGGCCATCTGGCCAGCAGTCTCTGCAGGCTGCTTGTAAACCCTGAATTAGATGTATGGAAGTGGGTTGTTAGAACTATCCAGAAATATAAGTTGTTCTGTTTTAAAGCCTAACAATAAGTGAAAAGACACAGTATTAAGACTTGTGTAACATAAATGCTTCATTTGCATGAACAGAAGCATTTAGCTGAATTCTATTCTGAGTGCTTTTGTGGGACAGCAAACAGTGCTTTTCTTTTTTTCTTTTTAATAATTTTGAAGTAATCTTTTAAACATGATTTCTAAAGGCAGTCAAAATTCAAAAGTTTTATTATTTTACCATACTAGTAGTAATTTTAATGACAAATTCTGAAATCTTTTTGTCCTAAAAATTCTACACGATTTGAAAGATCAGATTTTAAAATTATTTAAAAATAATTTAAGGTTGTATGACAGAGCACATTGGGATTTAAGCTAGAGTTCTGAATTGTATTGTGAGTCTTAAATACTTTTTCTCTGGCCTGTTAACTGCTCTGAATATATTATTGCATGAAGGGGATAGGTATATTAAAAGGTAATTTCTGTATGAAGTAGTGTTACGTGTTTGAGCTGATGCCTCCTGCTGCCTTTTGTGGTTGTTTCACCACTTTTCAATAACTTGTCTTTTTAGCTTTCCTATATTTGTTTCAATTTTGAGGCCTAGAAACCAGAAATACTGGCTGTGTATTCCAAAGATATGCTGAGTAAGCTAACTTGGAGTCATCTTCTGCTACTGTTACATCCAAGTTTATTATGGCAGGGAAGACCAGTAAAAACTAAGGACTTAGAACAGCATGGTTTTTTTTAAAAGTACCTTTTGCAGAGATGGTATACCTGAATGCATTTTCACAATAGGTGCTTTTGCATTCTCTTGAGTGCCAGTAAAATGACTTTTGTGTTGCATTCATTTAGTATCCTGACTCTAGCATTGTGTGATATTTGGATTAACCAAGAACTACAGTAACACACTGTCTTGTCTTTTCACTCCATGTAGGAAAACAGAGAGACAGGGATGGAAAGTGTGATTGAAGAAGTGGCATGTTTCAAGTATGTTTCCCTTTCTTCTAATATTTCAGCTTTAAAAATGGAATGTCTTAAGTTCGTGAGAGGGAATAGAAGAAAAGGGGCAGAGCCATGGTGATGAGCCATGGTGATTTCCCAAGGCTTTATACTCCTGTAGAATTCTTAATGTTGTTACTTATTTGATTTCTGGAATGCCTATTGAGCAATGGTTTTTAGCTGTTCTAGTTGACCATTTATGCTCAGATATTAATAACCAATGGACGTAAGGTGTTTGGTTTGGTTTTTTGTAGGAAACCTGGATTAACAGGCAGGGGACTGTATGAATTAAAACCAGAATGTGCCAAGAGCTTCAATCTGTATTTCTATCACTTTTCAAGGGCAGAGCAATCAAAGGTAACTAGTAGTTTAAGTTTCTGGGGTTTATTTTCTGTCTTTTCTTTTGATTTGCCTCTTTTCAAAGCTTAATTTTATGAAGAAGAATTGTCAGTTGGACATTTGAGAAACCTAACAAAATTTGCCCAAGATATTGCAGTGATTTCTGTGCCCCTGAATCCTGTGCCCTATACAGAGCTGTTGAAATCAGTGGGCTTTCAGGAGTTTTTCTATGGGTTCTCTTACATCTTGCTTTACAGGAAGTATTTAAACAATCTGTATTTTCCCTTACCTCTATGGAAATTGCTGTTGTAGCTCAGACTTAACTTAAAATTTTGTGCTTGAAAAAGAATCGAGGCTGGCTTAAAATGAAAGATTAATTTTGAGGCTGTGTGCCCTACTTTACAAGTGGAACATAAGACAAACTCAAAAGACACTGAAGCTTTCATGTTTATTTAAGGCTGGAAAGAAGGGGGAAAAACAGTAACAATGTAGTAAAGCATGAATGCTTCATTAGTTTTATATTTGTGCAGGTTTTGAGTAATGCTGCCATTGTTCTTCTATTTCAGGCAGAGGAAGCACAAAGAAAGCTGAAAAGACAGAACAGAGAAGATACAGGTATTTCTTTTTGGGAGAAGATGGGAGAAGAGGGAATCACATATAGAACTGCATATTGCCTAGATCCTTAGACTTAACATCCTGTTCCTGGTCTAGCTAGAAATTGGTTGAGAATATAGCAATTTCCCTTATGTCTCCCTGGCTGTAGACAGGAATCTGATCTGTCATGGAACCAGCCTTCTGAACAGCTCATTCCTTTGGCTTTTCTGTTACATGCAAGCTGTGGTGAATGTTCAAGCCTGTTACCTGTAACACTGTTTATCAAGCAGCTGTGTACTGCCTTAGAATAATACAATGGTTTGGGTTGGAAGGGACCTTAAAGGTCATCTAGTTCCTCCTCCCCTGCTTTGGGTTAGGCTGTTAAACCAGACATTTTGTGTGTGTTGCAAATTTTAGAGATGCTGAAATGTCAAACTCATAAATTTTCCTTTCAGCACTTCCACCACCAGCGCTTCCTCCCTTCTGTCCACTTTTTGCCAGCCTGGTTAACATTCTGCAATCTGATGTGATGCTGTGCATTATGGGGACTATACTGCAGTGGGCAGTAGAACACAATGGCTATGCCTGGTCAGAGTCCATGCTGCAAAGGGTATGGGTTTTTAATGTTAAATAATGCTTGTACTAACAAAGGAGTATTTATTTTAGCATTTTAACATGGGTTTATAGACCTGAGTTGTTTACTTAGTATCTGAAATATACAGAATGCTCTGAATGAGAAGTAAATAGTGCTTTCTGATATACAGAACTCGGGAAACCCTCTGCCTCCAATGCAATTTATTTTTAAAAGTGAATGGGAGGCAGAGGTAACTTTCTAATGGGACGCACATGAGAAGGAAGAATTGTTTGAATCAGTTGAAACAGTGTTTATTGTGGTAGAGAACCAGTTTACCTGAGTTGTTGCATGTTAAGTAAAGACATTGATTTTTTTCGTGATGTTCCTTTGCTTATTTTCAGTTTAGACTAAATCACTTTAGGAAAAAAATCATAGAAGTGCACAAAGGAACTTTTTAACTTGAAAATGCATCAGCTTTGGGAAACTCAGCTGAGCTGTTTGTGCATCACTCTTTATATAATTTGTAATAGTATTTAGAAAACTAGAGGGTTATTGTAGGTTTTGTTGTCCATGATGGTTGTTTTCTGAGGGGTGCAGAGATGGGCAGTGAACTGCCATCAGGGGGCAGTTCATATTGGTCAGGGTTGTTGGTTGAAGGTCCAAAGCCAAACTTTTCAAAAATATTGATGGGGTTTTAAATAACATTTTGCAACAAAATCCCAGTTTTGAAACTGAGTATTAATTTTTTGATGTTCAGTCTTATTGTGTATTACCTGTTCTAGCTAAGTTTAAATTAGCATAAGCAATTCTGTATAACACAAAAGAAGCTGAAAATAGAACAATATATCAATACTATAAATCACAACTATGTAGTTACATTCAGGTAATGTAAGAATGCTAGGCTTTGCAGGAACTGAATAAAATAAGATTTTGTCGGAAGCCTGCGGCACTTTGTGATGGTGCCATGCAGTTGGGTCTTTCTCAAGTCAACCATTCTTGTCTTGCAAGCTCTTGGAAAGGTTGATAGGAGACATCTGGAAGAGGTGGCCCATATCTAATGAGACCTTGTTAAATAAATGTGATGGGCTGAGGAAAAATCGAATGTTTAATTAAATTTAAAAAACTTCAAGACTCTCATCATGTTTTACCAGTTTTTTTCTAAAGATACTTAGTCTGTTGATAATCACCAAAATTTCCAGGTGATTATAATTTCCTTACATGGGTTTCAGTGTTGATTCCAGGCATTCAGTTATTGTTTGTCTAGAGCATCCTGCCAGTTGGTATAGGGTTGCAAAGTGGCTGATTCAGCATGTTCACCACCAAGGTTGAAGTATTTCAGCTTTAAAATGCCATTCAGACTATTATAGGGCTAAATAGGGTCGTTCCATATTTTAAGTCCAAAGATATTACAGCTTTTTACTCAGCTAAACATTAACATTCTTTTACAATGTGTTTCTAGAGAGAATAAATTCAGTTCATTATTTTCATTATTATTATTATTGTTATTATTATTTTATTGGTAGTATTTAATTTTAACTTTTTGTTAGTATATTTTGTATGTAACAAGGATCTTAAGTGTGCATTGTGCTTCTGTCTGGAGACTTGTGATAGTAACATGCAGTGGCTCAGTTAAGCTAAGGAGCACTGACTTCTCACTCACTGTCAGGACAGCAAACAGAAAGATACAAGTAGGATCATGTGGGATTTATGTGGCAAAATTTCAAACAAGCACTATTGCTCCTGTGTAATGTAGCTTTATAATTCTGTACAGAGAAATAAATTCAAATGTATTCTGATTATATAACTGTATTGTATGACTTCCTTGTCTCTTAGTGAGTTGCCCAGGATGTGTAACGAGTTTATATGGATTATTTAAGAAAAGAACTAAAATTCACAATTTTAACCTAGGTTTTGCATTTGATTGGAATGGCACTACAAGAAGAAAAACAACATCTGGAGAATCTCAGTGAGGAGAATGTTGTAACATTTACCTTCACTCAGAAGATATCAAGTATGCCTTTATTTTCAAATGTATAGCAAATTTGAAATGACTGAGAATGCCAGGACCTCATATTTTATTCTTCTGAAACAGCATAAAAAGGAGAGTGTATTTGTTTATCCATCAAAATTTTACCAAGTTAGCTATAGCTAGGTGCTTTTCATATGTGTAGATTCTATGATAGTAACAGTTCTAAACACATTTTCTGGAGAAATCTAAAATTTTAATAATTCCCACTGAATCTGATTCTTACATCTTTAAGTAGCATCTCAGCAAAGATTGCTGTACATGATCAGATGCAATTCCAAAAATGGTAATTGCATTCTGAAAGTCTTTTAATCTTGACTATCCTTTGTATCTTCTGACTAGTGCCTCTAGTTTTGCTAAGACATGAAAGTTGCTAAGTTTTAAAATAGTGGGAAGTAGAAAACTGGAAGTTCTACATGGCAGCTCCCAAGATGTAACCAGCCAGGGAGCACATACAGTGCATTTCTCTTGTAAGAAGTTGTAGTCAGTGGGCAAGACTTGTAAGACTATTTCTTCTAACTTTACAAGATTTAGAGGTTTTTCATGAAAATGTTTGCGATGGAATTCAGTTGCTGAACAAGTGTTGGGTTTTTTTTGTTTTTCATGTTAGTGAATCAGGTAACAAACAGTATAATCAATTATCATTGTAATTTTTTTCTCAGAACCAGGAGAGGCACCCAGTAATTCCCCTAGTATACTGGCTATGCTAGAAACACTGCAGAATGCACCCCATCTGGAAGTGCACAAGGACATGATCAGATGGATATTGAAGGTAAATATGTTTGATATTACGACTCTAAATCATGGAGATAAGTTTTTTGGAACTTAAGGAAGTCATCACAATATAATTAGTAATTTCCCATCTTGATTTGTTTTACCTACATTTTTCCTCCTCCAGAATCCAACACTGCACATTACCACAAACAAATAAAGTGTTGTATTTTTCCTTACAGACTTTCAATACTATTAAAAAGCTAAGAGAAAGCTCTTCTTCAAGTCCTGTGGCTGAGGCAGAAGGAAATATCATGGAGGAGGTAAAAGCAAGCTGTAACAGTTAGTTATCTGTAACAGGTCTGGGTTGTGACTAGCAAAGGACTGTATTTTCATGAGCAGTTCTAAAGCAAAGGTGGGAAACATCAGTGATTTCAGAAATTCCATCTCACACCTTATAGATCAAACCCATTTGTTTGAAAGACCTATTGGTAGAGTCCTCGGGCTACTTTATTTTGTTTTGTAATCTTCAAATAAGTTTACTCCTTGGAATTGTTTGTAGTATTGATCACAGCATTAAGTGTTTCTGCTCTTTATATAATTTCAGGCTCCTTGGAAAGTTGCTAAAAGAAACGGTACTTATGTATTCTTCCTGTGCAGGTCATTCCAGATATGCTCTGCTGATTCATTTAGCTCATTTACATACTACACAAAGACCTTGGAGCACTGTAGTGCAGTTAGGAATACAACTAGTGTGGAAGAAGAGCAGCACTAGAGACAAGACCTGTCACTTTGTTACCTTTTTATGAATGCTTAAAGGAAAGAGAAATACAAAATGCAATTAAAGGTTGAGGGGAAGAGATTGCCCTTCTGGATCTGCAGTTCTACCTGGCATTGAACATGAGCTAAATAAAAGAGGGCACAGAATAACTCTTTGGTAGACTTTTCTCTTCTTATGAGACTTTTATTGTTTGGAGGTTAGTACAGGTTACATGTAGCAGTAGCTGAAATAAATTGCCTTTTGCAACAAGGTGTTAAAAATGATGGAGTGAACAATACAATTTCAGAGTTCACGTGACAAAGACAAAGCCGAAAGGAAGCGAAAAGCTGAGATCGCCAGACTGCGCAGGGAGAAGATCATGGCCCAGATGTCTGAGATGCAAAGGCACTTCATTAATGAAAACAAGGAACTCTTTCAGCAAACTCTGGAGGAGTTAGATACTTCAACCTCTGGAGGACATGACAATAGGTAAAGGAACTTCATTGAAATTTTTTTTCCTTTAACTTTTATATCAGATTGTCCTACTCTTACTGCTTTAAAAAGCTCTTTTTTAATCAGTTGTGATGGAAAACTATTTATAAGTTTTTGGGACAAAAAACCAGCAGTAAATGGAATGCTTTCCTCAGTCAAAATGGTGGGATAAATGCTGATTCCTGCCTTGCCCATCCCCATAGTGCTCAACAGGCAAATATTTTTTTGTGCAAAATCATCCAGTAAATTAGTAAATTAATAATACTGAAGAGTCTATGCTGTTAAACATAGTAAATTGGAAATAGCTGATTATGTGTCTGTTGAAGATGTGGAAGAAAATCTGCTTGTAGCTGGAAATGTGAAGTATGCTAATGATGTGATGGGGAAGTGGAGAGTGTTTTCAAAAATTGATGCCAAACACTTAAGGGATGGTGATGATGGAGAGCTGCTGATGTAGTTTCTGTGTTAAACTGGAGTGAGAGGGTATGATTATTTTTTTTCTGGAAAATATGTGCTGTTTCTGGGGACATAGGAATTGTTGTATAAATGCCCAAACTATTTTTTGTCAGCCAACATTTATTATAAATGTAGAAAGCTCATTAATCGCACTTAAAACATTATCTGAATTGTAATGTTTTTAAATCATTTGCTCATTAGTATTCTTTGAATATTCCAGCCCTATAATTTCAGATTCAAAACTCACAGCCTTGGGACCAGAGCAGACGAGAGTAGCTGAACCCAGGCAGGTTGTTATGTGTATTTTGTGTCAGGAGGAACAAGAAGTTAAAGTGGACAGCAGGGCTATGGTCTTGGCAGCATTTATTCAGAGATCAACTGTGTTGTCTAAAAACAGAAACAAAATGGCTCCAGACCCTGGTAAGTACTGTTCAGAGTTGTCTTTAACATTGAAGAATGTTGGAGTCACTGTGACAACTGCATGTGTTCTTTTTTTGAGATACTGATATAGCCTTCTCATATTAACCTGTGTGTTTGTGAAAGGCTTCATTGTAATCAGTGGCAAAACTCCCATATTTTTAGTGAGGTAGAAATGTGTGTTCTAAATGATGTAAATCACTGCGAAGCATGATCTAAATGTTCTGCCATTCATTTGTGACAAATTATTTATAACTGTTAAACAGACCCCTTAAAATCAGAACTGTTTGTGCTCAAACCATGCCTGTAACATTAGAGAGAGAGGAGGTGATGTAGTGCTGTAAAAGCACAAGATGTATGTTTTTGTCCTCTAGGTTTTATCATCTGAAATGCCTCTTAGCAATAACAAAATCTTGGATTTAGGTACTTTGTGAAACAGATCACAGTGATCAATGGTGGTGTTAGAAAGGGTTCTCTGGATTCTATGTATGTAAATGCATAGAAAATCTCTGTACTGAATTGTTTTGCACTCTCACTTTGAAGATTAGCATTCTTGGACTGATTGTTTGATGGTACTGAACCACCAAAACTGCAAGTAGATCCTGGGGACTTTTACCAGGGCCCAGCATCTCTGAGAGCTTGGTTTGAAGTCTTAAGTACAGTATATAGACTCAAACCAAAATGACATGATACTTGTAAATGATCTGAACAGTGTAAGTTGTTATGTATTAGTAATGTGCTCTGTGCTTCATCAAATGACATCCACTTCTGTGATAAAGTTTAATGAGAATGTGGTAACATGTATGTGCAGTTAGGTCTTTTGATAAATGTTTATTTCAAGGTTGCTTTGTTTTGTTTTAAATGCAGAAAAGTATGACCCATTATTCATGCACCCAGACCTGTCATGTGGAACACACACGGGCAGCTGTGGGCATATTATGCACGCTCATTGCTGGCAAAGGTAAAAAGCTGTATTAAAGTTTTTAGTCCAAATAGCATTTCGTGCTATTGTTCACCTAATGGCACTAATTTTAATGACAAAATTACTCCCAGGTAGTAAATCCAAAAAGGAATTTCCCAAAGTGGTTGAAACAGCTTTCTGTTGGAAAAGTAGAAATTATTACAATAAAAGCTGTAAACATGTTGAAAATAATTTTCATTTGCTCCCTCATCTTGGTAAAGAAGAATCCAAAGCCATACGTGGCAGCTTTCATTCCCTTTGGTGGTTCATCCCAGTGCATAATTCCTGGTGGTGCACATATATCTGAACACTGAAGCTCAGATTTTTAGGGTTTTTCTTGCAGTTCATTGATAGATAGACATGATAGACATGTTTCTGCTGCTTCTTCTGCTGTCTACTTGAGATTTAAATGCTAGTGTGCATCCCTTGCACTCTTAATTCCTCCAACATGTTTAATTTGAAAAAGAGCCACCTGCAACCCCGTTCATCTTGATCATAAACTCAAGTTTATCCTTTGTTCTTAGTTTTTTAGTAAAACCTTTTCCACTAATTTTTAGTCTTTGATTTTTGGAGGCATACAAACATATTTAGTGCTATCTGGTGCCAGTGCCATGTGACAGATGCACACCATTCAGGCCTCTGACTTCAACTGGGCCCTTGCTTTGGCCATTGGCATGGCTTCTGAGGTGCCTAATTTCAAATTATGCCTTCTGTGTGAAGATTGTTAGGAGCTGCGAGATTCTGTGGCTATAAGCATGCACAGGTTTCATTTGTGATCTTTGATATCACTGCTCTCTGCAGATGTAGTCTTCTCATGTCACTTATGTACAGCCCCTTGTGATTGCCATTATCTCCTGGAATTGCCCTGAGATATCTGTATTCACATTATTTTGGGCCCATTGTTGGACATGCTTAAATCACATTAGAAGCTTCTGGAATAGCAGTTATATTTAGAAAAGCAGTGAATTAAGTTCCTTTTTCATAGAGGATTCAGCCAATAGCTTTTACTGCTCTGTTGTGGCCTATAATGGAATATGACCAAGGATAATTCTCATGGCATCTCCAGGAAACGTTTTTGTAAAAAACTAATTTTTTAATTCTTCAACTTTCTCCCCACCTCTTCCCCTTTTTATCCTAAACAGAAATGGCTAAAGTTTAGACTTAAACATGAATTCAACAGCCCAGTGAACTTTGGCAGCCAAAACCTGGGGATAACCTGCAGTTACCAATACTTCATCAGTCAGAGGGTAGAGCTTTTTCCTTCACATAATCCTGTTACCTGTATCTGGGAAAAGGCAAAACAGTGCCTTCCTGAGAATTCTTGAGTTTGTGTTAAAGCAATGTTTTAATAATTTGCCACTAATGTATTGTTCTTTTCTAAAGGTATTTTGATGCAGTCCAAGCAAAAGAGCAACGGAGACAACAAAGATTACGAGTGCACACAAGTTATGATGTAGAAAATGGGGAATTCCTTTGCCCACTTTGTGAATGCTTAAGCAACACTGTTATTCCTCTGCTTCCTCCACCAAGAGTTTTGTTTAACAGGTCTGTTTGCTTTATAAATGTCCTCAATAAACATAAAAGAACAGGATCCCATACAAGCCACACCCGGAAACCCTTCCTGAATGTTTATTATCTTCTGTTCTGATAAACTCCAATGGATTGCCTGCCTGCTTATTTTGGTTTATGGTTTTATGTTATTGTAGGTCAGAATTAGAATTTAGAGTAGGAAAGGACTGGTTAGGGTAAGACCTGCAGAAAAGAACTGAACATAGAAAAATATATGGGCAGCAGAGAAAGAGCCTTTGAGAAACAGGAGAACATGGAATGTTTATGAAATACTAATTCTGTGTATAGTTTGTTTTTAATTAACTTGTGTATTCTGGGGTATTTTTTTGACAGGTTAGACTTTTCAGGCCAACCAAACATAACTCAGTGGATCAAAACAGTATCCCAGCAAATAAAAACACTGCATTTACTTCGAAGCGAAGACTGTGCAAGTAAGTCTGAAGAAATGTGTGTATTTGTATATGAAAATGTTATAATATGCATGGAAAGGACTGAGCATTTTGGTTCCAACCACAGTGGAATTGAGAGATGATGGCATAAGTGGCAAGAACAGCTTGGAATTTCAGTTTCTGGTGATGTGCTTCTGCACTTTTTTTATAAGGTAAAAGGTAGGTATAGGTGAATAATCAGTGATTTGTTACTTTTTATTTGTACAGGCCATTCTGGTCATTCAGAAAAAATGGATCAACTGCAATTACCTGAAGGATTTAGACCAGATTTCAAACCGAAGTATGTATTTACATCTTCATAAATCATTAAGAACTCATCATGAAATTATAACATGAAACTAGAATTTAACCTCTGTGCTAGAAGGTCTCAATAATTAAGGCAAATATATGAATTTTGCTGTAATTAGAAAAGTTAATTCTATTATTGTGATGGCATTGAAGTTCAACCCACAAGTCCTGAGTAATGCAGTGGAATTTCAGGGGTGGATATGGCAAGTGATTGTGCAGTGAACATACTGCCTTTGGTAAATTTTGTCATAAAAATTAAGCTTTGTACTACCTGTTACTGGATGAAGGATTCATCAT